AGAGGCTTTTCAAACTAGATTATACCATTGTATGGAAGTAAATGGTGGTCATTTTGAACAATTTTTATAATAAATTTGGAAAATGAAATATTCGTTTTATCATTGAAAATGTGATGGAATCAGTTTTGCATAATTTAATTAAAGTTTAATTTAAAATTCTGTAGATCACAAACTAATTACTTTAAACCCCATGTTTCATACATTTTTGAAATCAGTTAAACAAGAGGAATCCAAAAATGGATAAAAAAAAATGGGAAAACATTTAACAAAATTGAAAGTAAACCACAAAATAGTCAGCATTATCTTGGCTGACACCGGCATGTACGGGAAGCCGAATACTCGGATTGCCGTTGTCGGGGTTGCTTCTCAACCGGTAGGACCTTACCATTTGAGGTAATTTAGAAGTAAAAACCACATATAGTCCATATTTGGCTTTCAGCACACGAGAGGTATCCTTACGGGCCAAATGCGGTGAATATTTGGCTAGCCGGGCATGGGAGGCAGCCTTACGTGCCGAACTATATACAGTGCTTCTCAAAAGTACCCTCTCCCTCTTTTCTTTTGAACGGTGATACTTAGACTAATGAAATTTGAAGGGGGAAAATGAACTATTGTAAGCTTCTCTACTAGCGGTAACAGGTGACGTAGTAGGCATCAGCATCGACGTAATAGGCATATGAAACCAATAATATTAAATGGAACCTTTTGGCAAGTGACATCTTGTTTTTAGAATACCTATTTAGTCATACTATTTTTTTGGATTTACAATATTTTTAATAGTTAAAATAAATAAACACTAAAATTTTAGTTTCGCTTTTAATTAATAAATATTTAAGAACAATTTCTGTTAATAATTGTTTAAAATGTGCTCCATCTACTTCCTGGTAGTAAAACATTCTATTATTAAACTCTTGTCGGACTCGCTTAAATGTGTCAGGGGAAATTGCCCTACATTCTTTAACAATTCGTTGTTTTAAAACGTCAATACTGTCAGGAGCTGTAGGGTAAACTTTAGATTTAAGAAATCGCCACAGAAAAAATCTAAAGGTACCCAAACTGGCCATTCTATTGGACCACGTCGTCCAATTCATCTACCAGGATATTCCTCATCTAGATAACGCCTTACTGCAAAGTAATAGTGTGCAGGAGCACCATCTTGTTGGAACGTTATTTTCAAGTTACCAAATTCATCTGGATTATCTTCGAGAATTTAAAGAATTAACGCTTCAATTACGTTTTCTAACATCTTGAGATATACTTCACCGGTTAAATTAGAGTTCAAAAAAAGAGGCCCGACTATGTGGTTTCCCAAAATACCTGCCCAGACATTAATTTTTAATGGGAACTGTGTATGTTTTTCACGAAACATGTAAGGATTTATGTCACTCCAATACCTCATATTTTGAGTATTAACATTTTCATTAAGGAAGAAAGTACTTTCGTCACTAAAACAAATTTTTCTTATATTGTCTGGCTGTTGGAGAATTTTAGTGAACATATTTTCACAGAATTCCAGCCTTCGGTCGGGGTCGTCATCTGAAAGTTGATGCACCATTTTTAATTTGTATGGGTAACATTTGTTTTATGGTCAACATATTGTGTACTGTACTAAGACTGACTCCAAAGGTAGACGCTACTTGGGCTGTGGAAGAAGTAGGGTTAACTGCAATTTCTGCAACTATATCAATTTGTTTATCAATACCAATATTTGGTCGACCCGATCGTTTGGCATCATGAAACTACCTGTTTGTTGAAATTATGAAAAAGCTCTCTTAACCCCTATATAATTTAGCTGTTACTTTGTCAGCTAGAGCATGTACCATTTTGTTTATGTAGATACTTAAACGCCTCGTTAAACAATAATTAAACTAAAAATTCAAGATATTATCGCCTGTAAAAACGCCAATTAAAAAATTTCAGCTTTTTTGGCAATTAACCATAGGCGGACTTTTAAATCTTTATTAATTAAAAGCAAAAAGCAAATTTTAGTGTTTATTTATTTTAACCATCAAAATCATCGTTAATCCAAAAAAAATTAGTATGACTGAATAGGTATTCTAAATACCTTTCAAACGAGATGTCACTTGCCATAAGGTTCCATTTAATATTATTGGTTTCAGTTGCCTGGTGACGTCACTGATGCCTATTACGTCACCTGTTACCACTAGTAGAGAAGCTTACAATAGTTTAATTTCATCCGGCATCCGGCAAGCCTCCTTTGGCCCAGTTACGGTGCCGATTAACAGTGTTTTTTTGGGTGAAAGAGTGACTTTTTCAGCAAACCTAAATATGGCACAATGTCTCCCCCTTCGAATATTAATTGCAGTATTTTTTTTTGTTTTTTTCCTAATAATCAATCCTTCAAAAGTTACTTAAGGTGAATACTTTTATCTGAAAAGTACTGTATCTATAAATTTCACGTACGCAGCAATACTTGTATAAACAGTTACATATTTAGTCTTTACACCGCAGACCTAACAGTCCAGGAGGGATCCGTCTGTCTTTCATAGATGAAGACACCGATGATCGCTTTCTACTTACGCAACTCCTAGTATTCAGTATTTTATTTAATTTTTTTTTCTTTATATGCAATATTAATTTAAACTATTGCATTATCGTGCGACCGCCTGAGACCGACCCTGTTCTTTATCGACCTTTACCGCTGCCGTTATGTCTGACGCTGGCTATCAAGATTCTTCTAGACTATTACATTTTTGTATATAAGTGCATTCTTTTGCCGTTTAAGCTAAGTTTTTAATATAGTGTTAAATAAATTATAAGTGTGAAATGGTGCTTAAGTTGGTGTAAATAAATTATAAATAAATACATTATTTTTAAAATAATCAATTGGTATAGTATTGTCATACTTTTTTGTTAAAGACATTTTCTCTATTGTAGATGACATAAACGAAAATGTAATAGATATCAGGTCGGTAGGATATCAAGTCCAGGATAATTGCAGGCTTTTTCCTAAAATTTTATACAACTTATTGTATCACCCCTGTAATTGTTTAGACGAATATTTTAATATGCACATTTTTCACATACATCTTACTCGAAACATTTTCTTAATATATTTAATTTCAATGAATATACTGAAAAATTAAAATTTTAACCTTTTCCTAATATTTTTCATTACGGTCCATTTTAGAGAAATCATGTTAAAAAAAAACCCTATAAATTTTCCCCAGATGTTCCGCAAGCCGAAGAAAAGCTTATGTATAAAATTTGGAGTTTTTATCTGTATCCGTTCATGAGTTATCGAGTATACAGACATCATCGCGAAAATAGTTAAAACGGATTCATTGGACCCCAAAACGTAAAAAGCCGTCGAAAACTCGAGGTAGAAAAAAAAATTATAATTTCTATACTTTCCTTATCTGCATACAGACAGGAAATTAGAAAGGTAGGACTACCTTCCTATGACTCATACGCCGCAAAGGGATCAATCCGGTAGTTTCTCGAAGCAGTGCGTTTCGAAACAAAACAGTTTTCATTATTGGAATGTAATATATTAATACGTTTTCCTCTATTTAGCAAAATGATCATTCCATCCTTTTTTCACAATATCATGAGAATCGTACCAAGTCTCATCAAGATACACTACGAATCAATCTATCTTGTTGACAAGCTTCATCTATTCTAGTGAGGTATTCATTACGTAAAATCATAATTCTTTAAGATTCCATAATATGCTGTCTTCTATTTAAGTTAAGATATCTAAAACACAAAGTATGGAGCACTTTTCTAGTGGTTCTGTCAGATTTAAAAGTTAAACCAGGAACCAACTTTATTTCATTTTTATTCATTTGAAAATACAGCACGATATTATTAAAATAAAAATTACAAATTTTTCTTCTAATATTCTCCATCTTGCAGTAATATAGACTAACTAGAGATCTTTGATTCCGCTTTTTTCTTGGAAGACATTCCTGTCTCGTAATAAATTTTCTTATCGAAGGTTTTGAAATTTTTGTCAAAACTTGTATTCTTTCTATGACACCGTAATTAGATCCATTATTTTTCAAATTTAATTGGTGGTACATATTTCGAATATCTTTTTGAGTTGAAGGTAACATCCACATACCAAATTTATTATTTTCGCAACTAGTGACATAATGTTCAACTTTATGCACCTTATATATCAAAATTAAAAAAAAAAAATTTATAACATATCTTCTAAATTAAGAAAAATACATTTTTAAAAAGCATCTTGTCAATGTTTGGTTTATATATTTCACATTTATGCCACTTCGGTTCCTAGCTCCGACAAGCAACTTTTTCCAAAAATTATTTAAATATTTGTACCTTATTAAATTTCCACCGTGTATCGGATTTTTTTTTAAATTACAACTTTGTATAAACACTAATAAATAAAAATAATTATACATTTTCTTATTTATTCGCCCTTTTCCAATAAAAATTAGTATTTATATTACCTCATCATCTACGCATACAAAGTCGTCGGGTTTATAGTTAAGCGGGTATAAAATACAAAATTAGCAGGTAAATAGAACCTTCTGCACTATTGCTGCGTTTGAGAATCCACATCGGATGCATCTGAGATGTAGTAAATCTTTGATCACGTGATTCAGTGTACGTAAATGTAATGGGACAGATGTGTCAGATGTGGATAAAAAAACGCTCGAGATGTAAAAAATGCATCCGATGTGGATTCTCAAACGCGGCATATAACAACTTACATAAAGTATGAGATTATTTGATTAAAAATAATTTCCTGACCGTATTAAAATTTCATATAGTTAAATAAAAACTTTCTTGGTTCTTTTTGATCAAATAGTTAAAAACTGTTTGATATGAGATTATTGTTTGTTAATATATGAATAACGGAGATTTTACCTCGAGTAGTTTGCAACTAGTGTAAAAATGACCCAACAAATGCTATTTCTGTACCCGGAAGAGGACAAGTCGATTTAGAATAGACGTATTCACGATCTAAATACTTAGCTCTCGATATTATTGTTGTGCTTCTGTTTCAGAGAGGATGACCCGACAGAGAAATGTCGACTTTGATGATATTCTGGAAGAACTCGGCGAATTAGGACATTACCAAATATTTATTTACATTTTAATATGTTTGCCAGTATTATTTGGAGCTGCCAATAGTTTAAGTTACGTGTTTACTGCCGGTGTACCACAATATAGGTTAGTATTTAATTCGCACTTATATATAATATTTATTTTAAAAGCATTTAAATTGACAAGAAAATATTTTTTTTAGTTTTTATTTTCACTTTTTTAAATTTATTTTGATCTAATAATAATTGTTCAGTATGTTTTCATTTTCCAGAATATTAGTTTAAAACTTTTGTTGCCTATTAATATATATTATATTTTGCTATTTTGATTTCTGTATACTTGTCTTTGTATTATTTGAAATCATTATACCTAAATACATATTATAATTTTTCTGTTTCTTCAAATGCATACCTTTTTAATTTCCACTATGTTTTCAGTTTTATTTTGTTTTCATTGGTTTCTATTCCAATTTTATATACGTTTATATTAAACCAATTTAACAGCAAGAACATGTGCCACCCGTTCGTCTAAATGTGTCTGTATTTTTTAAAGTTTGGCATTTAAAACCAATAATTATTGTCTTATTTATAGGTGCCTTGTTCCAGAATGTGAAACTTCTGAATACCCAATATATGATGCTGATTTTACAAAATGGGCTATACCAGATAAATCTTCAGTCAATCAGGTCATCGGTGTAAAAACTGATCTTTGCTCGAGATATAGAACAAAAACAGAGAATCACAATTGTACTCCAGATGCCTTCACCACTATAGTTGAGAGTTGTACTCAATTTGTTTTTGAACCTACTGAAAGAACAATTGTCAAAGATGTAAGTATATACCTTTATTCTATAACTATAGTTGATATCTAGCAACTTTCACAAAAGTCTCCATTCCGGTATTCATGGTTGTATAAAAATATAACAATTTGTATGTGTGGTATAAATGGGGCTCTTAACATTTTTCTTTTTGTCCATTTTTAAATTTTGATTGAGGAGTAATTTGAAGATAAAAAATTATTAAAAAATGTAGTCCTACACTTTCACCGAGATTATATATGTTTCATTTGATCACAAGCAGACCTGCAGGTCTCTCGGCAATATTGTTATTGTTTTGGCCTTAGAGTGATGTAGAAGCAACTCAACTTCGCAGCCTTCAGATGTGGGTCGAAAATAAGAAAAAGTTCTCTTTTCTGCAGTCTTACTTCGTTCCTAAAACAAACCATTAGAAAAAAATACCCATTTACTTCTGACAAAATCCTATTATCTGATCAATACACATATCTCCTATTAATTTCTAAATCTATGAAAATATTTAGTTTCCAATTTCTTTCTCAGCAACTAGTTTATATGCTTAACCACCAAAAATGATTGGTTACTTTCACACTCTCGGAATAAACTTTTGTAACCACTAGTTATTACATATTTAACTTAGATAATTCTAATTTTATCGCAGTAATAATATAACAGCTGACCTTTTTTAAACAAATTATTCGGTAGCAACTATATGATACATAATAGACTCCATAAATACACTAGTGCATAATTTTAATATTATATTCTAATCAACAAACAAAGATATATCTAAAAATTGTATATCCTTTTCTTTTTCGTTTCGTCCCTTGTTAGGGTTATTTCACCTACTTTTACTACCAACTATTATCCTAATCACTAGACTAACGGCTTATATATATCTAACATGCCAACGATTTTTATTCGGTGTTTATTTTATTATCAGTAATATGTATATTCGGTTCCTTATAAAATGTTTTTGGCACCCTTTATTCTCTTCGACCATTAACTATCTTCTGCAATCTTTTTTTATTTTACACCTCTAACTTTCTTCGACTTTTCACAGGCCTCTAAAATTATCGATCCTATGCCTATTGAGTATTCATATCTTTGTCCAATTCTAAGCATCTAACGTGCCAATATTTCAAGGTGAAAATCAAACCTACTACCTTTGGTATATTCTTCTATTATCCTAACCACTAGACTAGCGGCCTGTATGTATTTAGATAGATTTAATTAGGACTGTGAGCCATGTGGCCTCCCCAATCTCGACCTTTTTAGATCTATTGTGGATAGCCTTGAATCGTTGTTTAGAGTACCTTGTCTAATTCAGTCTTTTGTAGTAAATTCAATAGAGTGGGAAGTAGTTCTCCGGTATAGCTAGTTGCCCTTGGTTTTTCGTCTCCAAGTGTAAGGAATCTCAGTCCTGCTAGACCTTCGCAGTAGCAAAATACGTATACTGCCGTTTAACCCTCTTCCTGACAGAAACGGCACAAGGTCTCTTCTGTTAGACCGATATTATACATATGTTTGGTAAACCTACAATGCTCTGTTAATAGACCTACTAGTACTCTATTAGTTTTCCAATTAAGGCTTAATATAGATAATAATAGATGCTGCGATTTCTGCCTGGAATACTGTCGCATGTTTACCTAAGCTCAGTGAGATTCTTGTCTTTGGCTTGGTACATATATACCTAATCCTGAACTTTCATGGGTTTTGGAGCCGCTGTATACCATTCAGGGCCAAATCGGTTGACTTGCCTGGCTAATATGCATATTGGCGGTCGCTGAGAGGGTTTTCTCTCATTATTTGGTCTTGTATACAGGGTGTCCCGAAATTAGACGGTCATATTTTAACAGCGTAATCTACATCCTAAAATAGGAGTAAAAGTTTATATAAACATAGGTCCGAAAATGTTTCTTTTCCGAGATACAGGGTGTTAAAAGTGAAGTCCTGATGATACATTTTTGCAAATATTTTCTAAACGCTTAAAGATAACTAAATTAAATTTGGTACAAATGCTTACCTTTTTATTCTCTATGTAATGGACTAAATCTTAGTTTTTGATTATCTTCATAGATGGGTAAATTAGGGGGGGGCTTAAGGTAAAATTGCCCTAAGTTTTTTTGTTGTCAGTTTTTAACATTTTTGACTAAAAAATTTGGAAACCCAATGTTTTCTTTACAATAAAGCTACTCTTGCTGCATGTCGCTAGGACGCACCATTTTCAAGAAAAAAGCATTTGAAAATTTTATGATGAGTTCATGTTATTTTATTTGAAAGTGCAAACAATAATTAGCAGGCCTGTGGAATCAGAATTTTTTTTTTCAGGTTTGGAAAACCGGTAACTAAAGAAATTTATTTAGCTTTAATTTAATGTTTATTTTATAAAGAAACTTTAAATGGTAAAACTAAATAGTATTTAAACTTAAACTAATCAATTGTTTTTTTAATGGTTTGGTTGTCTTTTGCCCAGTAAAATGATTGATGAGAATTTATTTCTTTAACTACCGACGTTTAAACTCTTTTAGGGTAATCCTTAGGATGGTAAAAATAAATCATATACGTTAAATATCGTAAAATTATAGCAAAACTGTATTTGAAATAAAGAATAGCTGGTAATTTCTTGAAAATATGAAGTTTGACTCAGTTAGATAAGAAATCATTAGTTACCTACTTTTAATTATTGCAAATGCTATTTGATAATAATTTTAAGTTTTTTAATGTGAAGTATCTACTTTTATTTTCCTAAGGATGACTTAAAATAGGTTAAAATGACCACGATAAACAAATGATTCTCAAAAATTGTTTTTGTCTATACTACTAAAAATTCTACTAAAAATAACAAAAATTCTACTAAAAATATCAATTTATACAACAGTTAAAGTAAATGTTCAAAAACGTAGCCTTGCTGACGAAGGCACATTTCGGCTCTACGGGTAATTGCATGTGAAGCTCGCATTACTTCAAAATTATTTTGCCGTATTTCATTCCCTGCCAAACGTATCCTTTCACGCAACTCTTCCTCACTGTCAACTTCTGTAGCGTATACCATATCTTTTATACGACCCCAAAAGTAATAATCTAATGGGTTTAAATCCGGAGATCGAGGTGGTCATGGTATGGGAACACCTCTTCCTATCCATCTACCCGGAAATCTTTCATTTAGCCAATTTCTCACATTAACGCCATAATGGGCTGGCGCTCCGTCGTGCTTAAATTGCAGCTGATGTCGAATATTTAATGGGAGATGATCCAGAATGGGTTCAAGGTGAGTTTGTAAAAAATTCAGATACTCAATTGAATTTAACCGAGCAGGAATTTCAATCGGCCCAATTAATCTGTCATTGATTACTGCCGCCCAAACATTAATAGAAAATCTATCTTGAAAAAATCGACATCGCACCACCCTAGGATTTTCTTGTGAATAAAAATGGTGATTGTGAATATTAAAAACACCATCTCTATTAAATGTACCCTCGCCGCTCCACATAATAAAAAGAAGCAGTTCCTGATGGTTTCTTATCCATTCACTAAACTCCATTCGTGGTAAAAAGTCGTGGGGTCTTAAGACTTGAACACGCTGATAATGATAGAGATGAATACCCTGCATTCTTAACATTCTTCCAACCTAAATGAACATATTTTTTAAAAGACACGTAAACTAAAGTAAAAATTTAAAAATGCCTTTAATCTGAAACTTGTTCGTGTTATTTTTAACCAAATTCGAAAAAGGAGGAGGTTCTCAATTCGTCGCGATATTTTTTTTTATGTATGTATGTTCAGCGATAATTCTTTAACACGGTGTCCGATTTCAATAATTCTTTTTTTGTTAGAAAGGGGGTACTTCAGGAGTGGTCCCGTATAAATTTGGTCAAAATCTAATAATTGGGTCCATGAGAAAATCCTCAAACTCTTCATTGTTTAGCGATAATGCTTTACCACCTTGTCCGATTTATATGATTATTTTTTTGTTAGTAAGGGGATACCTCAGGGGTAGTCCCATATAAATTTGGTTAAGGTGTGGTGATGGCATCTACACGTTTTTGAAGTCGGTTTGTTTAAATGTTTAATTTCTAATACTTGTACTTGTAAGTTTGAGCAATAAAAACTAATAATCATAAAATAGTATAAAGAAAAAGGGACGTAATTATTACTTACTATTGCTCGTGGTATTTCTGAAAGGGTGAAAACAGTTCGAATACTCCTTCTTGGGTCCTCTTCAAATAAATTAAGGGCGTGTTCCAAATTGTTGTTCCCATGTGGTCTCCCTTGTCCACAATCACGTTGAAATGAACCATGGTCAACCAAATTTCTATGTGTATTAATAAATACACGGTAGTCAGAAATTCTTCGGTTAGGAAACCGTCTACGGTATGCTCGTACCGCTGCTCTTGCCCTTCCATTACACAAACCATATACAAAATGAATACCTGCCAATTCTCTATTTGAAAATCTCTCCATTTATTAGAAGTATTTTTCTTTCACGCAAAAAAAGTACAAATAATTACACAATTGACAGCCAATTTTTGTTTATCACAGCGTCTCAAAAAAGTAAAAAGCAGCTATTGGATTCCAGGCCTACTAATTTTTGTTTGCACTTTCGAATAAGATAATATGAACTTATCATGAAATTTTCAAATGCTTTTCTCTTGAAAATGGTGCGTCCTGGCGAGATGCAGCAAGAGTAGCTTTATTGTAAAAAAACATTGGGTTTTCAAATTTTTTAGTCAAAACTGTTAAAAACTGACAACTGGCAATTTTACCTTAAGCCCCCCCCCCCTAATTTACCCATCTATGAAGATGAACAGAAACTAAGATTTAGTCCATTACATAGAGCGTAAAGCGGTAAGCATTTGTACCAAATTTCATTTAGTTATCTTTAAGTGTTTAGAAAATATTTACAAAAATGTGTCATCAGGACTTCACTTTTAACACCCTGTATCTCGGAAAAGAAACGTTTACTCCTATTTTAGGATGTAGATTACGCTGTTAAAATATGATCGTCTAATTTCGGGACACCCTGTATATTTATCTGTCTTTCTGGCGTTTTTAGCATGAATGACGATAGACTGGGCCGTACGACTTTGATGTAATATCATTAAACCTTCCTACTTTAGGAAGGTATATGACTTTCTCCTTATGCCACGCCTTTGGTATATGTCGCCAGGCTATACATGCTTTCAATATGCGACACATATGTGGAATTAAAGTTTCCTGTCCCTTTTGTAGTAGAATGGGATATATTCCTTTTACTCCTTGATATTTGTATGGTTGAAATTTGTTTATAGCCCATCTAATTTTGTTCGGCCTCGATATTTCTGTAGCTAGCCTCCATTCCAAAGGAGTTGGCCTACGAGACCTTTTTTAAGAGCTATATGCTACTATCTTATCTAGCAAAATTTCTGCGGCCGGAAAATGTACTTCTGTGAGCATTGTTAACGTTTCCTGGAAGGTTTTTGTATAAGTTTTATCATCTTTCCTGAGAAATCCTACTTGGTTTGCAGTACCCTCTTTAGCTAGGACTTTGATAACTCCTCTAAGAATTTTCTCCACGATTGCCTTTTAGCCTTTCTTATCTCCTTGTTGTACTGCGTGAGTTTAGCCTTATATAGGGCCAGTCTTCGGTTGACTTGGCTTTATTAAATAGCCACTTCGCCTCTAAGGCGTGCGTTCAAAGTGTTTGTTTCACCAGACTGTTTTTGTTGTTTGCTGCCTTGTTTTCTCCAAAAAGTTTTCCTCGTAAGCGGGTTATAATGGCCTTATTTACTTGGTCTACTGCTCGGTCAAGACTTTGTTCACCTGTTATTTCCACCATACCCTCTTGGAGATACTCTCCAAGTGATGTTGAATACCTTTCCCAGATCGTCTCTTTAGGGTTTCTATATCTAAAATGCCAACGATATTTATTTGCTGTTTATTGTATTATCAGTAATATGCATATTGAGTTTCTTATAAAAAAAATTTTGGCACCCTTTATTCGTTTCGTCCATTAACTATCTTCTGCAATCTTCTTTTATTTTACACCTCTAACTTTCTTCGACTTTTCACAAGCCTATAAAATTATCGATCCTGTGACTATTGAGTATTCATATCTTTGTCCAACTGTAAACTTATATTTTGTAAATTGTTAAAAATAAATTAGTCGACAAATAGCAACAAAATTATATTAGCCACTTCAAGATATTTTATGTCACAGAAACATTCTTTTACTATAGAGCATATAGATTGCATCTCTGCAAAGCCAAAATAGCAACAAAATTATATTAGCCACTTCAAGCTTAATATTTTCTGTCACAGAAACATTCTTTTACTATAGACCATATAGATTGCATCTCTGCAAAGCCAAAATTTTATGTTTTAATCTTAATCACTGCAATGTCCAAGAAGTCAAAGGCTCTAGTTAGAATAACAAAAAAAAATGTTTACTTGTAGCAATTTTCATTTAATGTATCAGTTAAGACTGTGATTTATTTAAAATTCATGTCATTCAAATTGATGTAAAGCTCCATCTCCAACCTGATTGATTGACGTATAATTATGCAACTATACGGTCATGTTTATCTTCATAAATAATGTGTGTTTACAATATTGCCGCATTATTGTTCACATTGTATGTAAATATTGTTAATAAAATTAAAAAAAAACTTATTTTAATACTTTTCAGTGGTTGTTAACATGCTTAGACAATCAATGGAAAATATCTTTGGTTGGGTCATCGCATTTTGCGGGAATAATAGTAGGATCGTTTATGTTTGGAGTACTAGCTGACAGGTAATATATTAAAAAATTATACAGTATGTACTTACGTTATGTTTAACAAATAATAATTTATATCTTTAGGCACTTAGGCACCCAGAAAAAAATTTATTTAAAGTTTGTTTATTTCGACACTTTCTTCTTTGTCTTCACTTATTTGTTTGTTTTTTCTCTACGAATTATTTATACTGTTTACAGTTATAACAACCTTAATATTTTTTGTCTACTTTCTTTTGACTCATTTCACACAGTTCAAATATCTAAATATATGACTTTCTACATAGATGTTTCATCAAATTATTGTTATAACATTTTATTCGCTCCGTGCGAAGTCATGGAAAGGGAAGCAAAAGCGATACTAGCGCTAGCTGCGGATAATTCGTGCATTTTAGGGCGATATTTTGTAATTTTGGCATATCAAATACACGTATACATTTTACTTTTTTTCAAAAAAAGTAGGTAAAAACAATACAATAAGCAACCGAAGTTGCTGTGTTGAAAATTGAACAAATATTAGCAAAAAAAAACAGTGAAACTTATATAAAAAATTTCAGTAGCAAAGTGCAAATTAAATCAAAGAAATAAATGGATAGATATACAATAAGAAGAAAAATTACATTTATTTTTGTAATAATAACCGTAATGCTGCAAATAGTAGACATCAGAAACTTGAAAGGTTTTAAATCAACAATAAATTATCATTTTACCATGTTCTTTAATGTTCATTCAGCAAGGACTAGATTTCAAGATTTCTGCCTTTGATTATTATATGTGGTTGGAACGCAATTTTGTAACTTACTGATGGGAAATCAGTTTTAATAATTCATTCTATGTTTTCTTTCGAACAAAAATGAAAATATAAGTAATGATCCTTCTTTTATACATTTTAACTTCACGCTATTATTAAATGGTATTTTTTTATTTTGACAGATTAGAGTAATTCTTCAGTGAAAACTTATTAGACTTAGGCAACTTCTCATACAATTTCCAGTAAATACTGTTGCCTGCCTATATTTTATTATTCATTTTTATCGATTATACATAATTTTTTTTAATTTAAGCGATAAAAATATATAATAATAATAAAAAATTAATGTTTTACTTGCTTTACAAATCCATATACTTTTATTAAAACTACCATATATACTTTTTAATTACGAATTATATTAAAAGTTGCATTTGTCAGTGTACGCAGAAATAGTCCATTAGTATCAAAACGAATTGGCGCTGCTGTCGCGCACGGAGCGAATATGGTATTCCCTATTTTTACATATAATTATACTGTTAATTTTTCAAATAAAAAATTGTTTTTGTTACAGCTTTGGTAGAAAATTAATATTCATTGTTTGTATTTTCGTTATGACTACATCAGGTATCCTGCAAGTGGTATCACCAAATTATTGGGTTTTTGTGCTGTTCGTTTTTTTGAATTCAGTTGGTACGGCTGGGGTATATCCATTGGCCTTTATTATAGGTAAGTAGAACAATCATTATTTTGGTTATACATGAGAACTCATACTTTTTTATTCTTCAATTGTTCATCTAATCAAAGTATCTGTAGACAAAATCCCATTTTAGCGACTGTAGGTTAAATTGCTATTAATCATCTGCTGTATTAGAAGGATATTTTTTAATAAAATTAAAAAGTAAGCGAATAATTTTATAAAAAATAAAATTAATTTACGCGAAAAGTAAATAATAAGTTGAAATAAGAGCAAATCTGCTCTTGATCCAATTCAGAGTTTGAATTTTTAAATGATAAACATCAGAAAATCCTTTTTATGCTTTATTAATAGTCCTGTTGGCCTTAACATGTTAATATTTATCTTTTGGAGATTATAATATAAAATCTGAATGTGGAAATATTTATTAACTTTTGTTACATCGCTCGGTTTGACTTTCATATTGATTAGATCATAGAAGAGATGTTCCTAGAATAAATTTTCTTTATAAATATATTGAGGTTTAAATCGGATCGAAATACTAAACTGTTCACAGTAAAAAATGTATTAATTAATAGTCTAAGATCCGAAGTAAGGTCGACCTTCACCCATCTGTTTAATGGATGAAAGTTTATTTTTATTAAATAAAATATGTTTATAAATATACCGCAAACAGGTTGTCTAAGAAAATACGCTCCAGACTATTTATTTTCTTAAAGTAAAGAAAAACGAAACCCTGTAAAGTATTCCCCAGATGCTTCTACTATGCCCAAACTTTAATCAGCTCATCGCAGGATGGATTAAAGCTTAAGTTTCAAATTTGGTGTATTTCTCTTTATCCGTTTCTGAGTTGTCTTCAAAATTCGAAATTTGCACTTTTTCTCAAATATCTCAAATTACGTCCATTTTAGGAAAATCATGTATAGGAACAAAATAATAGAGAATGTCATCATAAACAACTTTTATCTAGATTCTCATACTTTCCTAATCTGTATACAGAAAGATAAGTAAAAAATAGATGTGACCGTATTTTCTAATGCAACCCATTTGCGGTATATTTAAAAACATTATTTTATTTAATAAAAGAAAACTTTTATCCATCAAGCAGATGGGTGTAAGTCGACCTTACTTACGGATCCTGGACTATAACGTAAACTACACAAATATATTATATATCAAGAAAATGACAAGTTATTTTATAATCTTGACTGACTTTTCTGAAAACTATCACGGCTTGATTGAACAGCATACAAAGTAATGAATAGTTAGCAGACTTTCTCCAACCTTGAGTCGTGATTGACATTAACATTTTACTGAGGCCCTTCCTATGGAGCATCAGTATTGCATTCGTGCAGACGAAAAAATTTTCTGACCCCCATTTTTTAAAACTTTTTTTCATGTTTCTGATCATTCTGAATCCGAAAATCGTCTGGTCGTCTGTATGTATGTATGCCGGCACGATAACTCTAGAATGAAAGTTCTGATTGACTTGCGGTTTTAATTTTCTTGAATAATTACTTCTAACTTAGAACCCTATTGATTTTCAGAAATTTCGGTTGATCCTAACTACTCTAATAACAATTTTCTTAAAATCCGCCTATGAATTCCTTATGTGAACAATTTTAGGAATTTCAATTATTTCTGACGTCAAAAGTCCTAACATTCTTCACATTCCATAAATGGCAAACATTCTCTAACGACCTGTCAAACAACAGCTGTTGAAATTTCTAAGGCGGGTTGAGACCTTCATACTTGCAACCATATAGCCATTTTGGAGGATATTTTCATTCGAAATTAGTCGCCAAGCCTGTCAATTTATGAAAAATATATAAGCAGTTTCTTAAAAATGACTTTTTATGGTGGTGCTATTCGTACTACTATTTCGCCCCTAGCCACAAAAACACTTTCATCAAATTTCTCTGTCGCAACCCCATAGAATAATTAACCGGCCATTTTATTTGGCAAAAATCAAAATAATGCTTGGCTGTGCCTGTCAAGTATCAAGATGTCAACTGTGATATGTAAATGGCTCTTAAATGTCAAATTATTTAAAAATGTATACTTCTTTTAATATTTATTGCAAATAATAAATATCTCAATTCAGGCTTTTCATAAATAAAAGTACAGCAAGACAGATAATATAATGTTCTTATACAAAGCATTTTTTTATTATATAAAAGAGAGGTAGGATATAATGCCCATTTCAAATTTGGATCATTTATGATACCAAGGTATTTTGTTGTGTTTTTCATTTTAATTATAAAGTTGTCATTTATTTGTATGTTGAAAGAAGTCCTTTGTAAATTACATTGCTCTCTATATGGATCCCGGTGAATGACATTTTACAGGTGTTTCAACTCTTTTTAAAATATGGCACCAATAACAGCATATTATGTAAAAAATGCACTAGATGTCGGTAGAATATGAAGTACCTCAAATGAAAACAAATAATGACTGCGAACTGATTCAGTTAATTTTATCAGTCGAGTAAAAAAATACGTCTGTATCCAATTTTTTTTTAAATAATGGTAATTTATTAATGTCTACTAATAATACTCTATATAACAAACAATATGGAAAGTGAAAATGAGAAGAAAAATACTATACCACATACCACCTATATATTTCATCAAAACAAAGTGAGAACATTACTATTTTTCATCATTTTTAGTGTACAAGACAGCAATAATTAAATAAAAAAAATAGTGTGTATTCTTTCCTACAAAATTGTAAAATTGTAAATATTGTTGAAATGAATTTTGAAAAAATAAGTGTTAAGTGCCATTTTGATGTTATGTTTACAGAAGAGTAGATATAAAATTAAAACTGCCACATTTTAGATAATTAATAAACACATTCTAAAGATACAGCTTATTTTGTTACCAGTCCTAAACAATTTCATATGGAGGGATCTCCTTATTGTAATAAAATGTGGTTCTTACAAGGCAAATTGATGAAACGGGTAGGTACAAAAATGATCTGTAAACCTTAATTACCTATATGAATAAATGTAATAAATTTTTTATTAAATATAAACGCAGATTCATTAACTTATACAACTTTAATCGTTTACAAAATAAATCAAATGTTTGTAGGTGTAACTACACACAGATTGATAAAGAAAAACGAAGGAAAGGTAGGTATTTTCAAGTGTGTAAATTTTATTAGTATCCGCCAAGAGCTTGCATTATAAATGTAAAAAAGAACAAATTATCAATCATTCCATTCTTATTTACATTTATATTATACGGATGATATCTTAACAGTCGAACTGCTAATTCTAATAAAATGTACACATTTAAAAAATTGAAAATACCTTTATTCGTTTCTTTTCTTTATCTACAGAATAATATAAAAGCTTATGACAGCAATTACTATCGTCTTTATTATTTTATTTCTACTTTGTCCAATTCAACTTTTGATATATTTTTTTTTATAATTTATTGGCCTACATAGCTAAGATAATATAGCCATTTGGTAACAACAGGTAAATAATTACAATGTTTTACAGCTTAATTTTAGACATTTGTATAAATTTTGATATTTTTTAACATTACCGAAAGATAGAAGTTTAAACAATACATCAAAGAGTATAACAGGTATTATAAATTTTTTTGGAATATCTAAACTCTCTAAAAATGTATAAATATTATAAAAATTATTTTGACAATTAAAAAAAATATGTTGTAAATCCTCCCGTTCTCCACACGTACACCTATCATTTTCTTTTACACCTATTTTATTTAGATGCACCATACTTGAACAATGACCGCTTCTTAATCTGCATACGGTACTTATATCCCTTCTATTCAATTTTTTTATTTTTGCAAACCACGGTCTCTTTCATGGAATTTAAATTACTTCTCCATATAGTTTCCCTTTAACTTGGCATATCACTTTATATTCATTCTCCCATTTTTTCCATGTATTGGATTTAAAAAAAAGGCAAGAGTTCACTATGATGCACCCTGGCATTAATATTTAATATTTGCAGTCGGCCTTTTTTGGCCAGTTCATCTACTTCCTCATTTCCAGTTATTCCGCAGTGACTAGGAATCCATGCTAGACAAATATCTATTCCCAAACTCTTTGCATTAAATAAACTATGTTTTGTTTCTAATGTTAAATAGTCCATTTTACTTGATATGCAATTACTGGATATTTTTTGGAGAGCACTTTTAGAGTCGCTGAAAATAACTGCCTTCCTAATATTCTCAGTTATAATAAATATAACCGCTTCTTTAATTGCATATATTTCGGCCGAACAGATTGAAAAGAAATTTGGAAGTCGAAAAGATTTGGCAATTAAATTTGTAGAAAAGATACCAGCGCCAGTTTTGCCCTGCCGATCTTTGGATCCATCAGTTAATAAAAATGTATAGTTGGGAAACTTTGACTTGGCTTCTATTATAAAATTTTGCTTATTGAATGTACATTTATCTAAAAATTCCATAAAAGGAAAAGTGGCAACATGTATTTCTATGGGAAATTGAAAGCACGGAAAGGTATCTAAAAAATAAATTTCTTGAAGAAAAGGCCTAATAGCATGGAACGCTTCCCTAATTGGTGCAATTTTATTGGCAGGCCTAAACTGGACGTCTCTCAAAAAGCATTCATGCAAAGAACTTATATAGTAATAAAAGGAATTTTTATAGGATGAAATCTTAGTTACGTATTTTAGTGCTAACCAGCTCCTTCGAGACTTTAAGGTTGACTCTCCACTTTCCGATAGTAATATATTAGTTGGTGTTGAGCGCATCATACTTAATACTACACGAATAGCTTGATATTACATTTTATCTAATCGTTTCAAGAGCTCTTGCGAACAACGGCCGAAAACAATACTTCCAAAATCTAGATGACTACGAACCAAGGCTTTATAAATCATAAGAAGAGTAGATGGGTGGGCACCCACAATGTACGGCATAAACATTTCATTAAGTTAATGCCTTTTAGTGCTTTGCCACATATGTACTCTACATGTGGCTTCCAATTCAAATTATGTTGAAAAGTAACTCCTAAGTATTTAATT